GAAGCATTCTTATTTCGTTTGCTCTTTTATTATGCATTTTTTTTTTCCTTTTGAGTATTGTAACTCCTCTTTTTCTTTTTTTCTTTTTTTTTTATCTACAAAGATTTGATCCTATTGTTTTTTTTTTAGTGTGGATTTTGTTATGTTCAATGCATAAATTTTCGTGTTTGTTTTGCAAAGTATTTGTTAAACACAGTAAAAGGAACAAATTGAGAATAACTCGTGCATGTTTAGGGCACGACTTGAATGTAAACATTATTAATTCTTTAACATTTTGGTAGAGTTGAACATGATAATTAAGTGTATGTTTAGTATATGGGCTCTGCTATAGTATAAATTTATGGTTTTGATTCTGTTATAATATTTTTTCATACAAAATTTAAACTTTAAAAGTCATAATAAAAAACTCTGATTTGAATTTATATATCAAATGCGGCTTAAGTTTGTCAAGCCTTAGCTAGCAACTCAGCCAAAAAAAAAAAGAACCTTACACAACACAAGGCAATAAAGGCCTGTTTGGTTTATGTATTCTAACTAGTAATTCTTGATTTTGACATTTGAAATTTAAATTTTTTGTGAGAGAAACACATGTTAGTTTACCAATCCATCCCAAAAGCTTAAGCTATTAGGAGGTGGACTAACAATAGTTTTATACTTTAACACTCCCCCTCACGTGTGGGCTGAACAATGGGCAATCGTGTGTGTAAATTAATTAGAAAGCCCAACACGTGAATATTTAAGCCCAAGATATATTAAAGACCCAACACATGACAATTTTTAAATGGGGATAAAGAGTGTAATTACGGGGGTTTGAACTTAGGACCTCCCGCTCTGATACCATGTTAGTTTAACATTCTATCCCAAAAGCTTAAGCTATTAGGAGGTGAGTCAACAATAGTTTTATACTTTAACAACACTGTAGCAGAATTAAAATCATGAATTTAAACGCATGAAGGTCTCATTCAGCTCGTTGATTCGAGTTTTCAATTTGAACTGAAATGCGATTTTATATGAGAGTTTTTTATTGTAGCAGAAAAAGTTAAATATAATTTTTTATGAGAATTTTTAATCGTAATAAAATTAAAATTAAAAACTCAAATCGGTTAAATAAACATAGTCAAAATAAATGGGTCGTAAGAGATTCATAATAAAGTGGCAACGCCTAGTCACTAGACTTGAGAGTGTCGCGCGTCCATGTTGCATTTATTATTTTATGGGTTTATATTTATGTTCTACTGTTAATTTCTATGCAGTTAAATGTCAAACGCATGATAAAATAATATGCCATAATTAATGTCAGTGATATGCATTATAATTGAGAAATCCTGACCATATAATAAAATTGTATGTATGTATAGAGTGCATTATTATTTCATAATATTACGTACATAAAAACGATTGTTGCAATATTGGTCAAGCGTTTATCAATTACGTGATACATATATGATATCAAGATAGTCATTTTTATTGATGAGTTGTAATTAATGAAATGACATTGGTTAATCTAGGCTCACATTACCTTTAGTCACATTGGTCTTTGAAAAAGTTAACACTATTGTTCCCAATATTTGTTTTTGAGCCAACAAATATTTTTAGCGTATGTTTGATTCATGCATTTGAATTTATAATTTTGATTATGCTGTAGTTTTTTCTTTTATAAAAAGTTTAAATAAAAAAAATTCTCATCAACAGGTTTTCTCACAAAATTTAAATTTAAAATAAAAATCACCAACTTAAAAGAGTGAACCAAATAGATCATTAATATTAGAATATGCAAACATGGATAGAAAAAACTTACCCAATCAAGTGCATCATTCTCAACATTAGACTTGATCAAAATCAATTTAACAAATGCTCTAAAAAAGTCAATTTGACAAAAAAATAAAAAATAATGACACCTACAACGGATATGATGACTATGACCCGTTTAAGAAAATTTGTGCTTTTATTTTTAAACAATAGAAGAAGATAATGTAAATCAAGGCTTTTTAATTAATGTTAATAGGCATGAAAAAGAGCTTTTTTTTTTTTTTTTTTTGAGACAAGCTTTTGAACATGTTTGGTTAATAAGTTCAAAATTTTTATTGTTATAAAAAGTAATGTAATAAAATAATATTGATGGAGTTTTGATTAGTTATTACAAAATAAAATTTTAAAAAGATAAATAAAAAAGCATTTCATAAGGTCATCTTTCATAAGCACCTTAAAGGTGGTATGTGTCAAAAGAATTTATAAAAACTTAAAATCACTTTCATATTGTCCACCCAAACAGTATCAAAAATAACTTTTCGAGTAAAGAAGTCAAAAATAACTTTATTTTAAGTCAATCCAAACAAGCTCCTAAAATAAAATCCCATCACTAGTATATTGTTTTCATACCCTACATAAAAAATTCTCTTAATAGAATGTTAAACATTTTCATTTAGCGACATTATTAAGCTGTATATGAATCTTAAATCATGATGAATAAGTATCCATTTTGTTTACTAAAACTCATTATTATGATTATGCTCTTTTATAAAAATTAAAATAAAATTTAAAATCAAAATCATTAATTTAAACCCATAAAATTATACGGATAGTGTACTCTTTAAATGAGGGTTGAATGGCGACATTAATAACTAATTTCTTCCCATATTCTCAAACTTGTATAAAACGATTTTCAAGTCCAGCGTAAGTAAGCACTATTGAAGAGAGGAATTTGAAGCGGGAGTTCGTCTCCGATTGCATTATAAACATGATGAAAACTGTGACCAGCACCCACTGAGAGTCAACCCTTTTTTTCCCCCGTTTTATTACTTTTTTCAAGCAAGGTAAGGGTAACCTTTTCAACCAAAAAAAAAAAAAGGAAAAAGAAAAAAGAAAAAAAAGAAAACAAGAAGGCCCTAATTCATTAATTCGAGAAAGTTCTCGTCCTTTTCTGCCAAAGCTGACGTGAGCAAAAAAAAAAAAAAAAAAGCAAAATTTACGACGCAGCTTGGGCGAAACGAAACCACAAACTGGAACACGTGTAATAACTTGGCTGTGAAAGCACCGAAATCTCGTGCATTTCCGGGTAAGAGTTACTAAATGGAAAAGAGATTTTTTTTATTATTAGTCCCCAAATTATGATAATTATAACATTTTGGTCTCTAACCATTTTATTTTAACAGATTATTTCATAAAAGACGCGTTTACCAAATCGTAAAGGAACGTAATGAGAAATATAATAGAATTAGAAAATAAAGTAAAGTAAAATAATAAGATTAAAGGTTATTTATTCCCTTTTAAGTGTGTATTTAATTATTAGATGATGTAATAGGAAACAACTTCATTCTGTTTTTTATGTTTATTAAAATTAAGAATAACAACTTAAATATCATTTTACACAATTAACTAAATATTAACTATGTAGTAATTCATTAAGAATAGATAAGTAAACTTAATATTCATTCCCTTTGATAAAGAATCATTAATAAGAGAAGAGAGAGAACGAAGATGATATAGTAATTTTAAAACTAAAATTAATCATTCTCTGGGAGACTCTCTTGAGAAAAAAAAAAGAAGAGAGAGAAAGAAGAAAGAGAACGAGTGAGAGAAAGGCAGAGAGGGAGAGTGTGGAGGGGCCGTCTGCTAGCTTTTATTCTTCGTCCATAGAGTGGTTGTCGGTGGATCTACGATGTGCCGGGATTTGTGTCGCCAGGGGAGTGGAGTCTGGTTTGGATCAAAGATCAGTCACAGGAGAGGGATGGTCGCCGCCTATCTGGTGACAGGACCATTGATGGAGGAGGCGCTGTCGTCCGATGTGGTCGTAGGAGACTCGAATCTCCTTCGAGATCGGGCTGGGTCGGAAGATGGATGGAAAGTTTTAGACTACTTAGATTTGCTGCGGGTTGGGAAGGTTTGGTCGTCGTTAGCCTGATGTCGATGTTGAGGAACCCAACCGTGGCTGTGGTTGGGTTCGTGCCACCAAGTGAGGGTGGTTGGCGGTACTACTGGTCTCACCGAAAGGTTGGCCAAGTTGGGGCTGCTGATGCTTTTCGATGGGCAGGTGGATGAAGTTGGATGGTTGAGGCTTCGCGATGGATGGCGTTGAGGGATCTCATATGTGGTTCGCGGTGGAGGTCGCACTCTGGAGTTGTGTTTAGTCTCATTTTTATGTTATGTATTTGTTTTTGTTTATGGTGCATTGATAATACAGGAGGTAGTGGTTTCAACACCTCTTAGCGTTCGTGATGTCCCCCACCCAATCAAGTTGATCATCGCCGGTGTGGTTTGTTTGGTCCGGTTAATTTTAGGCCGCATATATGTCCCCTATTTGAGGAGTTTGGTCTTGATTGACTGGGTTAATCCATAGACTTTTTAGTCTCTTTCAACGAGCTTCGACTATGCTCGATTTTTATGTGCCAATCGAGCATTTTTCCCTTTGGGTATCGATATTAATATTCGCCCTTGTGCTATTATTATTTTTTTTGGTGGATCTAGTTGTTCGGGTTGAATTCCATTATATTTGGGGTCATTTACGACATGTCGAGTATGTATTACTTTCCTTTTAGTAATGAAATTTCCTTTATTAAAAAAAATATTCCCTAGTGTGAGGCCACTAAATCTCTATTACTAATTTTATAAATAAAAATATTTTTAAATATAAAAGGGAATCACTTCTCATTTTTTTTTTCATTTAATACAAAGTAAACAATTATTTGAATGATTTTATTTTCTGATATTGGAATTGATAAAGAATTTAAAAATACAATCATATTTTTATTGCATTATAATAATTCAAAACTTTAAGACCTTGGAAGATTCTAACATTTTACACTCAATATAATTATTTTTATAAAGTCAAAATTTCATTTAATATGTGACAAGGATGTGAGTTTATATACATTTTTTTTTGTTACTTTCAATGTTATGAAAACGATAAAATAAATATTTTTTTTGGGTTAATTTCAGAGGGACTAAAAAATAATATAACAACAATACTAAGAGGAAAAAAAAAAAAAAAAGGAAAATAATCCAGGGCTTTCGGCGTTTCTTCTTCTTCTTCTTCTGGTTTTTCTGCTAAGAGCTTGCTAGATTTCGATTTCCAATCCAGGTTTGTTACCAATCTCCGCCATGAATTTTCCAGGATTTTACTTTCTGCTGCTCGCAATTTGAGCTCCTTACTTGTTTATTGATCTTTCTTTTATCTTACGTTAATCATCTCAATTTTTTGCCTTTCAAAATCCGCTCTTTTTTTTTGTGCTGCTAACTTTCGCCATTGCATTTAGTCACAAGCGTCAAAAAAATCTATTTTTCGACACGAAATCTGGATTTCTGATTCGAGTTGTTTTTGAACAAATTTTTTCTCTTATTAAATTCGAGTTGTTCGCGATTACACCATTGTATTTGTTCTAAGGTCTTTTTTTTTTTTTTTTTTTTTCCGATTACCCCATTGTTTTTTTTTTTAGGTTTTTTTTTTTTTTTTTTTTTTTGTAATTACTGGTTCGAGTGACTCGAGAATTTCGTTTGATTTATTATTGTTTTTTTGGCAGTGAGTTCTTAGGGTTTTGGTATTTGCAGTTCCGATGGCGAGAGCTCAAACGGGAACCGTGAACCCGGGTGGTCGGACTGGGGTCAGAATCGTCGTGGCCGGAGACCGCGGCACCGGAAAATCGAGCCTGATCGTCACCGCGGCCGCCGAGAATTTCCCGGTGAATGTACCGCCGCTGTTGCCGCCGACGAGATTGCCGGAGGATTTCTACCCTGATCGTGTGCCGATCACAATTATCGATACTTCCTCTCGGTATAAATTTATTGTCGGTAATTTTGTTTGCAAGGAAAATTCACGAACTTGTAACTTTCATATGCTTGTTTTGCTGGTTTGGGTCTCATTTTTACAGAGGAGGCACATATTATTCATACCTTGTAAAATATAGTTTTTTTTTGGTTTATTTTTTTTAATTTTATGTGGCTGCTGTGAGGTTGTAGAAATGGAAGGTTTTCAAAATCTAGCGGTATATATTTTATTATTTGGGAGTCAAGAGGGAAACTAATTTTATACCAGATTGACCTCAATATAAATATGCGAGTCTCTAGATTGTGTTTTTATTTGTTCTTTTATGGGTCAATGGGTCAACTGTTTTTGTTCTTCTTTATAAGTTCTTTGTTTCTTGTGTTGAATGTTTGTTTATTCTACATTTTCGTCAAACAGTCCTGAAGATAATGGTAGAGTTGCTGAAGAATTGAGGCGCGCTGATGCAGTTGTTCTTACTTATGCATGTGATCAACCCCAGACGCTTGATCGATTGAGTACCTTCTGGCTTCCTACGCTTCGCCAACTTGAGGTTTTCTTTCTTTGTCATTTCTGTTTTACATCGTATTTTGTCCTAGCAGCACAATATCATGATGGAGAACTTCCAGAATTCTTCTGGAATGAGAGAGAAGGGAAAAAAAGAAAAGAAAAGAAAAGAAAGGACAAGAAAAATGTGATGATAGAAAACTTAAAACTTCAACCTCTTTTACTTCGTTGGAAAGTACTTGCAGACTTCAATGAAAGTTTATTGAGCTGTATATTTTTCATGCAGAATTATGGTTAACTTTATGTTGCAGGTGAGGGTTCCAGTCATAGTTGTAGGTTGTAAACTAGATTTGAGAGATGAGAACCAGCAGGTTAGCCTGGAGCAAGTGATGTCACCAATAATGCAACAGTTTCGGGAGATTGAAACTTGCATTGAATGTTCAGCATTGAGACATATACAGGTCTGTATAGTGAACCTTCTTTGCACGGGCCTCCTTTTTCAGTTAAAACATGCAATCTTTCATGCTTTTTAGATATGCCACATTTGCAAGCTTATGCTTCTTTATTCTCGTAAGTTTATAACTTGGAATTTTGGGTTCAACCCTTTATCCGAGAATTATTTTTGAAATATTTCTGCATCACACACTTTAACACCAGTATCTGATTTAAGATTGTGGAACTTTTGTATAGTTTGGCTGGTCAAATACATCGACCAATTTCTTGTTTTGATGGCTTTTACGTTGTAGCTCTAAGACTGTCTGTATTTCATTTTGTAGATTCCAGAGGTTTTTTACTATGCACAAAAAGCTGTGCTCCATCCAACAGGCCCACTGTTTGATCAGGAATCACAAACACTGAAGCCTCGATGCGTGCGATCCTTGAAGCGGATATTTATTCTCTGTGACCATGACAGAGACGGTGCTTTAAGTGATGCAGAGTTGAATGATTTCCAGGTTACTTTTTTATGTCTTGTTTTATGATCTAGATTTTGTTTTGTGGTGTGAATTTGATTTTGAAATGATATCACGTCTTAATGTTAGTTTTTCTTAGCTCACGTTAATGATGATTTGTCTTTGACTTTGAGATGAATGGAAAATCTAATTTTTACTATAAACAGGTTAAATGTTTCAATGCCCCTTTACAGCCTTCTGAAATTGTGGGTGTCAAGAGGGTTGTGCAAGAAAAGTTGCCTGAAGGAGTCAATGACCGCGGGCTTACTTTGACAGGATTCCTCTTCCTTCATGCACTATTTATAGAAAAGGGGCGTCTTGAAACAACTTGGACTGTCCTTCGAAAATTTGGATACAATAATGATATAAAACTTGCAGATGAACTCATTCCATCTCCATTGAGACGGACTCCTGATCAGGTAAAAGCTTATTACAATTTGTCAGAAATGAAATGGAAGTGAATAATATATTGAGTAATACATTGTCCAGAATATCGGTGTCTATTTTGTTCATTTTCAACTTTCTTTGTCATGTGGGTATGTTGGAGGCAATGTGAACATGGACTCTTGTGTCTCGCTTGCATTTCTGTTTTTTGGACACAGCCACTATGGTGTATGAGGCATAAAACTACCTTTATTTTTTAGGACGTTTACAATCTACTCGTGATCTATGGTTGAGATTTTAGGACGATTCAGACCTATTTGAACTTCCTTCTTGGTATTGTTGTTCTTTTTATGCCTACTTGTTGGTATCTTTAGCATCCATATTTCATTCCTCTTGTATTTTCTTAATTTTGGTGGACCTGTTTAAGCATATGAAATTTGTTAAAATTACTTACAAAGCCATTATATGTGCAGAGTGTGGAGTTGACGAATGAAGCCATTGAGTTCCTCAGAGGAATCTTTGACTTGTTTGACAATGATGGTGTATGTCCTTATAAAATTTATCCTATTTTCTTTTGGCTATTTGGTGCAACAAGTTCTATGCAGTAATCTTTTCTTCTGTTTCTTTTCATCTTACTAGTTACTCTCTTTTAATCATGTCTGTAATCTGCTTTCCACCAGGATGGGGCACTCCGACCTCGTGAACTGGAAGAGCTATTTTCTACCGCCCCCGAAAGGTTGTTTAATTCTGCCAGTATTATTGGGCTCTTTTACTTGATTTGTCTCACGTCAAGGTTTTTGTTCTATGAGGTTATCCTGTTCAGCTTTCCGACAAAGAATTGCTAATTGACGAATTGGTTATCTACGATACTTTCAATTATCTATATCTTTCTGCTTAGAATAAGTAACTTTAGTGGATTTGTGCTACTGTCTTTGGAAGTTTGACATTATTTCTCTTATAAATGACAGTCCGTTTAGTGAGGCTCCTTATAAGGATGCAGCTGAGAGAAATGCATTTGGAGGGTTATCACTTGATGGATTCTTATCACAGGTCTTACTTTGCCTTTTCTTCACATTTACAGTTGGAAACCTTTTTACTATGCATGAAAATGGCTGAACATAAGACGAGCAGTATACACTTAAAAATCAATGTGTCATCTTCCGTCATCCATTGTTAACTAATGTCAAAATTTTGCGGGTTTGCAGTGGGCGCTCATGACACTCCTAGACCCAGCTTTCAGCATGGAGAATCTGATATATATCGGTTATTCTGGTGACATTTCATCTACTGTCCGTGTCACGAGGAAGAGGCGTTTAGATCGAAAGAAGCAACAATCAGATAGAAATGTTTACCAATGCTTTGTTTTCGGCCCTAAGAAGGCTGGAAAGTCTGCATTGCTCGACTCTTTTCTTGGAAGGTCATCTTCTGAATCATGTTTTTGATTTTGCTTTCCAGATAATCTAACTTTGTGAATCAGGTAATAAACATATTTTTGTTCTTGTTTTTGCACTTGTTTTTGTTTTTGTTTTTGTTTTTTTGTTTTTTGTTTTTGTTTTTTTCAAATTTTGGAAAAGCAGGCCTTTCTCTGATACTTACAATCCAACCACAGAAGAACGTTACGCAGTAAACGTTGTCGATCAACCTGGGGTACATGCTGTTATTAACCATCTTATGTCTTGACGTCTTTTGAATTGTATATTATTAGGAGTAGCACTTATCAATTCATTTGGTGTTCGGTATACACAGTTGTTTCTGTACAAGCCTGGCTAATGTATTTAAGAACCCTACTGAGTATTGTCCAATTCTTTGTTGCGCAGTTGGGTCCCCAAGTCTTTTTCATTCTGTCCCCTTGTTGTATCGTCTTCTTTGGCTTAAACTGGAAAGTTCAATTAGGCTTTTAAAGCATTAGTTATTTGGTCTAAAATTCTATCTATGTTAATTTGTTTGCAGGGAATAAAGAAAACCATTGTGTTGAAAGAAATTCCTGAAGACGGAGTTAAAAAATTGCTGTCAAACAAAGAGTCCTTGGCTGCTTGTGACGTAGCAGTGTTTGTTCATGACAGGTAAGCAAGAAGGCCTCAGTGGGTCGTTACATCTATAATAATCAATCTAGTCAAGCATGGTATTTATTGCTGGTTTGTAATCTCATTGTATTTTTTGAGATTTGCTGTTTTCAAGACTGAATCTTTTAAGATGAAAAAAAGATCTAGGTCTTTGTTGTATTTCTTTCTTTTTTAAATTGTTCTACTATTACTTTATTAATATTATTTTTTGAATTGTACTATTGAAGTCTCTGGACTGGCTCATTTTTCATTTTCTTTTGTAGCTTATGATATAGACTTTAAAATACAACGAATGTTGCCTTCTCAATGATGTTTCAGAAATTGCTTGTTGAAGATGCACTACACAAAATTTCAATATAACTCGCATCTTATGTGTGCACTGGTGCAAGCATATATATGTGGATGATGTAAAATTTGCTTTTGAGGATTTGATGTCTCTAATGAGCTTAGGCTTGTTAAGAACGTATGTTGACATGAGTAATTATGCTTTCTTGCTCTACTACGGATTAATAGTTTATAATTTACACTTGTGAATATCTAAGGGTTTTTTCTTTTCTTTTTTAGTTCTGATGAATCGTCATGGAAGAGGGCGACTGAGTTGTTGGTTGAAGTTGCTAGCCATGGCGAGGATACTGGATTTGAGGTGCCTTGCCTCATTGTTGCAGCTAAAGACGATTTGGATTCATTTCCATTGGCCATACAACATTCTACAAGGGTAAATTGTTTTTATCACTTGTTTACGTATTTTATAGTGGGAGTGTGTTGTTCTTAATGGTCATGTAATTTGTGTCAGTTATATTGGATGTCTTGATTTTTTGTCTATTTTTTTATTGGCTGAAATCTAGTGACATTTTTTTTCAATCTCAATTTTGTGTTTTTAGGTTAGTCAAGATATGGGAGTGGAAGCTCCTGTGTCTATTAGCACAAAGCTGGGTGATTTTAATAATGTATTTCGCAAGATTATAAGTGCTGCCGAGCACCCTCATTTGAGCATTCCCGAAACTGAAGCTGGGAGAAGCCGCAAGCAATACCATCGGCTTATTAACCGGTCTCTTATGTTTGTTTCAGGTATGAATATGATATTTAGTTTCGAATCCTCGATGTACAGGTTCTTGAGCTCTCTCTATATGCATTTTACTGCATAAAACAATTTGGTGGAAGGGAGCTTCTAGTAAATCTTACATGACTAACAGCTCCTGTTGCTGTTCCCCATGCTTCTTTTGAGTAATTTTCTGATGTTTTGTTTTTATTTGCACGTCATGTTAAACTTATTTAAAATCTTTTCAGTGGGAGCTGCAGTGACCATTGTTGGATTAGCAGCCTATCGCGTTTATGCAGCGAGGAAGAACACTTCTAGTTAAAGGATGAAGGTCGGTGCATCGCGTCGATCAGCTTGTTATATGCCTCCCTCTATCATATACGAAAGTTGTGAGAAACTGTCATCTTCAGAGCCCCACTCTGTCGGGTCGCTTGACATGGTTTATGCACAGAGAATTTACAATATCCTATCTATTCATGACACCCTTAAATTTTCCCATTCCTTAAATTCTCGCGTTCTTTTTAGGTTTTATTCAGTGGGCTGAGTATAAATTGTTGGTCAACTCGTGCTTTATTGTACCGTGGTTGAAATGATAGCATAGCACAGATACAAAATGGAATTATGTCTTTTTGTTTTGAACGTGGAATGAGAAAAATTTTGCGAGTATGCCATAAACTATAGCAGTTCAGACAAGCTGGTAATAATTAGAGTTTTTGCTCTTTGATTGTCAACTAATGTTCCACCTTGTGGTGAAAGCTGTTGCTTTTTGAACAATCATTTTTTTTTCTTAAATTTTTTAAATTTTTAAATTTTAAATTTTTTAGTTTCACTATAGAATCATTTCATCAAGCATAGGGTTGAGGGATTCATTACAAGAAAAGGAAGACTCAAAATTTTACATATTGAAAAGGCGATACTTGTTGCGACCAATAAATGTTGTTAGGCAGGGCTGCTATTACGTTCCTTTTCCCGTGTGATGCTTCATGTTGCTAAATCTAATTTCGGTTCCAGGTTCCCTCATTCTGACCTAACCCCAACCGCACTTGACTCTCAACTACATAGCCCTGCAACTGCCGGTTTCATGTCTCGGTGCGTGGATGCTCCGCACACCTTAATTCCTAAGTCCGATAATCTCTCCTGCAACCTTGACTTCGAGATATTGACAATAGTGTGCAAAATCCTCGGCGGTTACCAGAAGGCTAAACTCCAGACTGAACAGAAACGCCATCTCTAACTCGTTCATTTCTTCAGTGCTCACTCCTCCCACTTCGGCATAATACGCATTGCTTTCAGTCCTGAAACACATTTTTATGCCAAAAGAAGATTAAAAAATAAAAAACAAAACTGAAAAACCACAGCATGTAATGATCTTTTGCTGCTAATTATCAAGTTGGGAAATATCTTACGCGTCATCGAGGAATTTTGCAGCAAGCATAACGCTGGTGATCAAAAGCCGGTGAACAGTGAGAGAAGTCAAGTAAAAACTGGCACGTTTCTGAAGGAATCTCTCTATGTAAATGTATGCAAAAACATAGCAGGACGTGCTGCAATTTGAGTACTTGAATATGCGCTCAACATACCGTTTCATGCTCATGGCAGGTGCTTTTGAGCCGTGGAAGATTGTAATAATCTCAACTTCTATTCTTGATTTCACTCGCAATAATCTCTCATTCTTCTGAATCGATTTCTCGAGAAGATAAGCTACAATTTGTAGAATTTTGGGTGGTGAGGATGAATAATTAGTTTTCTCATATTCCTCCAACCCCAGAGCTATGCAAATCTCCGAGAAGCCATCTATACCATCAAATCTCGTTGTTTCCATGTGTAACAGTCGCAGCATACAATACTGAATATATATCAATGTATTTTAGATTATAGTAAGGAATATGGCTTTTCTTTGTAAGTACTGCTACCTATCTTCACTTTTTTGTTGATCTGTTCTGTCCACATTTGACGTTAACATGTCTTTATTTTATTCTTTTCTTTCGGGTAAAGCCACTGGGGAAATTGTAGGTTTGAAGTTAAAAGGACTAAAAAAGAAACATCATATTCTTATACGGGCCAGCGACTTGGTCCGTTAGTTGAAGCTCTTTGTATGTTTTTCTCTGCTAATAAATGATAAAAAAGAAAAAGAAGAAATAGTACGTAGAAATTAAAGCATCAAGATATCCTAATGCTATGCTGGTTTTAGTTGGGGCATTTGTGCCGATTGTAAGCTGAAGAAAGATAGATGCAAAGTACATGCTAAAATAAAGAGAGAACGAGAAAACCGAGCAGCTAATTTATGTAATTATTTTTTAAGGGACTAGAGAACATGTTTTTGTAGAATTTGTGAAGTTAGTTAAAAAAATATTTTAATTTTCTAAGCAATGTGTAATATCCGATATTGAAATTCTATTTATTAACTTAGTTGAGGGTGAATAAGATGAAAAGTAGAGTTTTATAGAGGTTACGTTGATATTGATCAATAATGCTTAGATTCTATTTAGTGCATAATTAAAGTGTTGTCTGTAGGCATGAGACATGAAAGAGGTTGGATTTATTTGCTTGAGAATTGATATGAGAGGAATGATATTATATAAGAATGAGGTGGCTTGATATAAATTAAGTAAAAAAAATATATGAGTCCACGTTTGGAGCTTAGCATGTAAGCACATGAACTATGCCACTTTACTTAGAGATCTTAATGTCACGTTTCTTTAAGTGAGAAGTCTAATTCTCTTTTAGTTTGTAGTACATATATTGAAGCCTATTCAGAGGGTGGTCTTCAGCCAATTTTACGTGAGTCACAACTTAAAGAAAGAAAAAAAAAAGAGGAGAGTTATAGAGAGAATAGTTTTCCCTCTTAAGCAGCTTGACTGTAAGTAGATGCATCACTTGAACAGCAGTATATTTTCAATTTATATACGTTATTATTAACATGTTTTTATGAGATTTTGAAAGTATTTCTGAGTATGATGTGAATCTTATACATATTATGAGTTGATTGAAATATGATGAATGGCCAAATTCTAGAGGAATAGGAGATTTCATGACAGGGGCCATATGAAAGAGGTTATAATAACACAAGATTAATATTATACAAGAGGGCCCTAAATGCTAAAGAAAAGCATTTGAAAGTGGAAATTATTTATGGTTTACTTACTGAGCTCACGCTCCTATAGTTCTTGTGATGCGGGTAAATGCTAAAATAGAAGTTCCAGTTGACTGAGCAAGAATGGTTCAAGGTCCCATGACGAGTTAGGAGATCTTTGAAATGAAATTTGTAATATTAAGAATTTTGTTCGATGATTGTATTTGTGATAGATATTATTTCTCTATTAAGTAATATTATTTATTTTAGTCAACGTTTCTCTTGAGCTGGCGTTGTTTTTAGCTGCTAATTTGGGAGAGGCATTACACAATATGACACAATCTAATTAGTTAGACACCATTCTAAACACTAAAATTAGACAGGTAATTTGAATCCCTTTTGAGATTGCAAATTGTACAAAGTTTTTAAAGCAGTACTAAATAAAATATTGTTAAGTTATAGAGTCTAATTGACGATTATTTTCTTATGCAGGGAATTTCGTGGACCGGCCTTATAATATTATAAAAGAAAATTAATCTAGAGAAATGCCCCTTTCTTATTTACTACAATACTTTTATAGTTTTTTTTTTTCTCCCTCTTTACACATTAACTTAAGTGGAACAGAATTCCAAGAAAATAACACAAAATTAAACTAAAGAGATAAGCTGGGACACGTTTTCTAACTTTCTCTACTATTGAAAAATAGAAAAACAAAATCATAGATATGCAACTCAGAGAATAAAGAGGCCGTGGGAGAGGCCAACCCAACTGTACTTAATTTTTTAATCTTCCCAATTAGGTTAATAACTTAATTAGCATAATCGAGTACGTGTATCCGCTTTTACTTTATTGTGTGATGTTTTTATTGCTATATTTTTTTTTCAGGAAAAAAATTCCCTTCTATTTCTTTAACTTGCTCCTTTTTTAGCGCATCTACTCAAAATTAATTAGCCAAAATTAAGTCCTTTTTAGGATTTTCTTATCTTTATTTTTCTTTTGAAATTTTTAAGCTCACATATCACAAACTACGTACTACTAAAGTTTCCTATATTTGTTTGTTCAGTGCATATAATGATTCTGGATTCGATTGGCTTGGCTGTTTATGAAGATATACATGCATCAAACATAAAGGTAAAGAAATTATTTACAATTTAGAGACAATAGATTCCAATTAAAGATCTCGAGAATTATGAATAATTCCCTTAATTTTTAGTTTAACAATATTATCCTCGACAGAAAATTCCTCTATTGCAAATTCCCCAAACTACTCTTTTTCCTTTTCCTTTAAAGTACGGGCGAATTTAAACTTAATAAAGTAAAAAATAAAAAAAAATAATTAAGAAGCATGTATACGCAAAAATAAAGCCTAAGAGTCCCTACAAAATAAATAAATAAATAAATTGATAAATTAATAAATAAATAAAGCCTAAGAACGCGTGATGCATAAATCAAATGCTGCCAATAGATGAAAATTGAAAACTAAAATAAAAAAAAAATAATTGACAATTGCCAACGTGCAGCCATGCAATATATAACATAGAAATTAAGACGACATTCCTTATAAAAACTTACATCTTATAGTTCTCATCCTTTCCTTTGTGTGTGTGTGTGTGTATATATATATATATATATATATATGTATGTATCTCTATATATAGATATAAACACACAAAATAACTTCTTCAAGATAAAGATCAAAATGATCAAACCAAACCAAGATCTCAAAGTGAGACAACCATTAACCAAAACCATGGTCTCCAAAAACTCCCATTCCCACTTCAAAACCAAGCAAAGAATATACTTCATCATCTTTCTTCTTCTTGTCTCTCTATCCCTCATAATCCTAGCCTTGTCCTTTCATGATCCCAATCCCATTAACAACAATAAGCTATCCACAAGTCAGAGGATTAGTCAGAAAGATGATCATATCCCCGTCGCCAAACACCCCGAATGGCTCAAAATCATAGAACAAAAACTGAGGGATAAAAAGAAGAAGATTAAGCTAGGTTTGGTCAACCTAGATCATGATCATCATGGTCTTCATGATGGACTGAAGGGATTGGACAGGGTAGAAACAGTCTCGGTGCGGTTTGACCGCTTGACCGGAGACAATAAAAGGGAATGGGAGGAGTATTTCCCGGAATGGATCGACGAGCACCACAAGTGGGGCCCACCGAGGTGCCCGGAGATCCCTCTACCGACGTCGTTGGAGCAATATAACGACCTAGACGTCGTCGTTGCGTCGGTTCCTTGTGGGACTAATTATACTAGGAAAGGGGTTAGAGATGTCTTTAGGCTCCAGGTCAATTTGGTGGCGGCCAATCTGGCGGTGAGGAGCGGGTGGGAGAATCAAGGTGTCGTTCATCGGACGGTCTACGTTGTTTTTGTGGGGTCATGTGGGCCCATGCTTGAGATATTTAGATGTGATGATCTTGTCAAGCACCGGAAAGGAGAATATTGGGTGTACTGGCCGGAGATGAGGAGGCTAAAACAGAAGGTGCTCATGCCCGTTGGGTCTTGCCAGCTTGCTCCAGGTTACGCAGAAACAGGTGAGGTTTTGGTTCCATTTTTTGCTATATCATAATTGGTTTTGTGTATCTATATATGTATATATATATTGTATAATATGGTAGACTGGCATGCTTAACTGGGACATATAGTAATATTGATATGCACACGTGTATGTTACAATATGTGTATATGGTAGTTAATGGCTGAGGATTTTTTTCCTTTATTATAAAATCTTGGTGGGTTATTAGTGATAATTAATTAGTTTATAGGAAACGGGCATCTTAGGAGATTTAGCTTACTATATTATATGAATTTTACCAGAACTTGAGCCAAAACTTAACCAACCTCATGAACATGCAAAAGAGCCGTGTTATCTTTGGTTAAAGGATTTTTTACTAGTTTTGGTTTTAGGATTTTAGAAAATGTGGAAAAGGCAAAATCAGTTCACATTTTCTTTAAGGAGTGAAAATTAGAGAACCCATGCATGATTATACTTGTTTGTGGGTATGTCTATATATACATATAATTAAGATCATGCAAGTGGCTGCTTGCTTTTAAAGATCAAATCGTCACATTTGGGTTCTTCTGCCATGTTCTTTAGTAAAAATTGCAAATATTGAATTTGTCCAAATTAAACAACCTTAGCTACAATTTGAATTTGGCCGCATGATAGCTTTGACCTTTTTTTTTTTTTTTTTTTTTTTTAAAAAAAAAAAAACCCCAACCCCCTTAAACTAAAATCCAACACATTTTTTTAAAAAAAAAAAAGAAAAGAAAAAAAACCCACATCCCCTTAAACTCAAATCCAACGTCACTATATTTCAAGTGGCTTGACATTGTACACTCTTTATCCCTTAAAGAATTTGATGTTAATTATACTTTGGAACAACTAATTTTTGGTTGGCTCTCTCTCTCTTTCTCAATTCTTTTGGAAGAATGACTCAAAATTTTCATTTATTTGACGTAATACGCTAATATAGCAATGTTAAGCATCGGTCGTTTTCGTTATTAACAATTTTAATTCACGAGTTCTACACGACTCAATCTACTTCAGTGCAAGTAGATATTGTATTATATGCCAAGTCTAACATCATGCTTGTTTTATTATATAAACTAGGCAAATTTTCATTCACG